TCATGTAAGCATAAAAGGCATGGATCATCCCAGGTTCTACAATTTTTTTTTCTTGTTCTATTTATTATTTTCCATTTTACTGATTGTGTTTTATGTGTTTATTTTAAATGCAAAAATATTTAGATAGGATGTTTGATTTCTGTTTCTTATATAATTAAAGGGGCTTTGGTGTAGTCTCCACCTTATTTTAAATTCATTTTTTGTGCATCCTATATATATCGGTTCAATATTTGGATTCTCAATGGATGAAATTGTGCATTGGTATACCACATTGGTATTCTATGCGGTATTTTTTTATTTAGAGGGCTATTTTCATGGTTTCTAAAATTACATAATTTTTCATTATTTTTGTCTAATTTTAATATACGATATTTATTTATTTGATTTTGGCATGCGTGTTCTTTCAGGATTTAATTAATTTTTTTTTATAATCCTTTCTAGATAGTAGAGTTATAACTTAATTTTATGGTGTTTTTAATAAAAATCTTGCTAAGTTTGCTGTGAGCATGAAAATGTTTTTCGATTAAAGCTAGGAATTTCTGGTCTAGTTTATTACTAATCATTTACTTGAACGGTGGGGTGTACCAAATGATTGTTCTTTTTCTGCTTTCCCTCTGGTTTGTACTATTATTTTTTTATATAATTGATGTTAGTGTGTTTGTAGCACTATATTTTAGAGTTCGGTTGTAAAAATCTACTGTGTTTATAGAATATTTCTTAATTTCCAGAATTCATACTAATTCTTTTCTCTATTTAAGAGGGTATATACTTACTTATGGATGGAGGATGGTTCGACCTGAGGTGCACATACAAGCGATTAGTATTAGGTTTTCTGTAATGTAGGTATATGTTATTCATTAAGTCTAATGTCACGTCGAGGAAGTTTACCTTTTTCAATTTTGTTTTGACCGTATTTTTTATTAAATTTAGGTTTCTGAATTCACTATATAATATATTTCTAATTTTATCTATTTTAAAATTAGTGGATCTCTCACTACCATTAGGTCATCATCCTTATATAGCCCGATGTCTTTAATGTCTAATTCAGCACAGTTAGGTTGTATAATATAAATACACAGACAAGTTTGGAAGACCACGAAGAGTCTAATGACCCCATTGTGATGTCAAAATGGTCTTCAGAGTTTTTAATGCATTGGTCCTCATTATGAATGAGGACAGATATTTTTTGCATTGAGAATTATGTTTTTTTCTTCTTTTGTTAGGTCTGAATATATAGTAGCAATCTCTAAGGCAGTCATGAATAGATCTCTTGATATTGACATAGTAATCCTCAATATAAAACTTTATTAGGGTACAATTTGGCTTATCATTAATACTGGTAAACCAATTGGTGACCTCTTTGGTATTAATCCAGACTGTTAATCCTAGGTAATACTTTCTAGAATGTTTTGCTTATTTTTCCAATTTGGGGTCGTGTTGGGTTTATTATTCTGATAGAATTTTTTTCCTCGAAATCCTGTTTGTGGTCATTAATAGTGATGTAGCATTCCTTTTCTGTAAGTTTACCTACTCTATCATTTATTTTTAATTTATCTGTGATATTTTAACTAGTACTGTTTATATTCTCTACCATATTTACATTGATATTTTTAGGAGTTCCTTGTTAAATTATTTTTAATTAAGTTGTTGTAGTTCTCTGCAGTTAATTTGTAAAGATTTCCGGATTTGTCGGATTTCGCCAACACTTTATCTGCGCCGTTTATGCCTTTTACTATTTGGTCTAAATGTTTTTGGAAGTAGCTTTTATATTTTTTAAGAGAGATATTATATTGTGTAAGTCTATTTCGAATTCAAATAACCTTTCGTTAAATGGTGTTTTTTTTAATTTTTTTATTTATTTATTTTTGCTTTTCAAATCATAAACTTCAGATACTTCTGTTGAGTTATTCCCACGAAGGAAGAAAAACGCTTTCCATCTCATCCTTCTAATTAATTCTTCTGTTTTTTGCTTTAGTTTTATGAAATAATTCCGTTTGTTTCTGTTTGAAATGTTTTTCAAAGAAATGCCGAAATTTACTTTTTCCATTTTTTAAGATTTTTATTTTAAAAATAAAGGTTTTCAGTGCTCGACCTAAGTAAGGAGCAAATATATGTGTGTATATATATTGATATAATAAGAAAGAACTGTTAGATTGATGATCCTAAGTTCTTTAGTATTTTTATTATTAATTTAAAAAAAAACAGTGCTCGATACAAAAGTAGAGCTTAAATTATAATTATTTTTTTAAAAATATGATTCCATAGCAACACAGAAATTACTATATTACGAAACTGGTCACCCGTATTCAAGTGTAATTTCAATATTAAACCTTAACTTTTGGATGACAGTTTCATCCTCAAGTGATGATTTGAATACATAAGCAACGAAATGTTTTGCTCATTTATAGTTTTTGAAATGGAGATGTAATCTGGACTTAGTTTTTTTCTTATCAAGGGGTCTCTGCTTTGATGAAAGTAGACGTGTATTTTATATGCCAAGTTTTTGGAGTCGTGTAAGGTTTTGTTATTTTTTTTTGTCTAGCTACAATGGCTAATTTTATCAGGCTCCGTTCTTTTTTTTATTACTATCTGCAAAAACTCTAACTATAGTTTTTTTAGAGTTTTATATATTGTTATGGGACCTTACCCATAATAACATAATGGACTATTCCATACGTAATAAATACTGCGCCTCAAGAGGAAGCAGGGAGTTCAGTCCGAAGTCAGACGACCGGCTGAGCGGCTGAGCGGCTGAACTCTCTGCCTTCGGGCGGGGAGGAACCCGAACGAGACTACGCCGAAGGGAGTGGCTTCTCTTTCGGGGAGGTAAACCGACCCTGAATCCGTTTATACGGGTTCAAAGGGCAAATTTTTGGCCGAGCCCACGGGCTCGGAGATCCCACGTTAAACCGGCCTTGTGCCACATGATGCCCTCGTGGGTGGGGTGACTAAATACTGTTCCGTCTGAAGTCTGGAGTTCCGTCTGAAGAGTTGAGTTCAGTCTGAAGTCTGGAGTGAAGTCCGTCAGGAGTCTGTCAGTCAGTCAGAGCGAGCGAGACAGTCAGTCGAGTCAGAGGCAGTCCGAAACAGATTCGCGTTCAGACAATTACTACTAAACCTGATTGTTCGTACTAACACTTTCTACTTCTCTGTATAAATTCCTGTAATATATCTGTGTTATTCCATATCCGTGTTCGAGTTCTTCTTTATTGGTTCTACCTTGGACTATCACCGTAGTACAAGGAACCGGACTATAACACACACACGCACGCACACACACACACACGCATATATATATATATATATATATATATATATATATATATATATTTATTTATATATATATATGTTTCTTTAAAGACGATTGAAAAGGTAATTCAATTAAGCCTTTTATTTAATGTTTCTTGGCTTTGTGAAAGTGTTTTTTTTCTAGGCACAAAGTGTGTAAAAACTCTCCAAATAATTCTGAATGTTCGAACGCTTTCGGCTATACATTTAGCCATTATCAAGGATGGTTTCATTTATTATTTTAACTGAATGCATGTTATGCATGTATCTAGAATTATATGAATGATTAATTTTTCAAATACGCTCAGCACAGAAACACGATCATATATATATATATATATATATATATATATATATATATATCGTTTCTGTTCGTATGAAAGTAAATATAAAGGAATATTCACTTCATGTCTCTCTATGTCACTCTATTCTATGTATGTATTTATGTACTGGGGTGCATGTGAAACTTAAAACGAAGATATATATATATATATATATATATATATATATATATATATATATATATATATATATATATATATATATATATATATATATATATATATATATATATATATATATATATATATATATATATATATATATATATATATAGATATATACATACGTAAAACAAAATTATATAGATATGAACGGAATGAGTGATATAGATGCATACATGCCTACATAGAAAAGAAAGAGCATATGAATATATTTACTTTAATATACACACAATTACATGTAAACGCGATTATTTATATATATATATATATATATATATATATATATAAAAATATTTAATATACATACTTTTCTCTATTGGAACCATATTTAATATATATTTTTTTATATATATATATATATATATATATATATATATATATATATATATATATATATACAAAAGAAATAATCACGCATAGAATCAATCAGCGATATTAATGCTATTATTGGCGATATCCATCGCTGTATTAAAATATTGTTAATCCATAGAATAAAAAAATATAAACTGGAAACAGCAGACAACAGTTTTATAAATGAGGATCACATCATTCTATGGATTAACAGTATTTTAATGTATACATTATACACTACTAGCGATGGATGTCGCCAATAATAGCATTAATATTGCTGGTTTATTCTATGCGTGATTATTTCTTTTATATATATATATATGCCTAATGTTTTATGTTTATATCTATCTATCTATCTATCTATCTATATATATATATATATATATATATATATATATATATATATATATATGTATATAAATAAAAAGAAAGAACAGTAAGATATAAAATCCGGTGTTCTTATAGATATTTTATTTTTACAAAATAGTGCTCAATGTAAATTTACAGAGCATTAATATTATAAATTAATTGATTTAAAATATGGTTATTTTCGCTACACAGTTCCAACCATGTTTCAAAAATAGAAGCTAAAAGATTAAATTTATTTTTGCAATTAAATTGCAAAAAATAAAATTAGGGTTTTTATCTTCTATTTTTTCGAAACATGGTTGAACTGTGTAATAAAAATAACCATATTTTAAATCAATTAATTTATAATTATATATATATATATATATATATATATATATATATATATATATATATATATATAACCAAATTTCGACAGATAATAGCCACTCATGAAAACTGACATATATTTGGACTCCTGCAAATAAAATAAAATTAATTTCTGGATTTTTAGACTTTTGATCCAATTGTATTTTGTTTTGGACGATAGATAGATAGATAGATAGATAGATAGATAGATAGATAGATAGATAGATAGATCATGACAGGTACAGGAATAGGAAAACACGCATAAAACTTAGCATACATAAAGAGATATAAAGAAACTCGCATGAAATAGAAACAATTTTTAAAAAAATATGAACATAGGTAGATCGATGGATAGATAGATCAATTGATACTGACGCCACGATTGTGATTTTGATGGCTAACCATAGCCGCATTCAAGACGCCAATCTGTCCTCTTTTCCGTTCAAAACCCAATACATATATTCCTCTCACTAATCCCCATCTATAGAATCTGAAAACATAGCCACATCTTTTCCAGTATTTTATACACTTACCTACTCGTAATGGTGCCACTCGAAAAAGTTGTCTGTTACGCTGAAGTCTTCTTGTGAGAGTCATATTGAAGGCACATCTCAAAGATGATCAGGAGTTGAATGGAGTTGTCAAGCCGTTTGACGGCACCACTCGACAGTTTTCACAGCGAGATTTCACTTAACACTGTCTTTCAGAAATAAGGAATTTTTAACTACTAACTCACCAGTGTGGCTACATAATCGTGGAAAATGAATAAAAGAAAAGCTGAAGGAAGTATATAGGTATGGGCAATAAACTGTTTCTCCACTTATTTCGATGTCTACACATATCATTCGCCAATTCATTCTGAGGATAATCTTTCTTGGTCTTTTTAGAAAATATTGATTATATATATATATATATATATATATATATATATATATATATATATATATATATATATATATATATTGTTATAACGGTTTACTTTCCCGCTTTTAAGTTTTTAAGTTCTTGTTTATATTTTTCACACCTTAAAATTTGGACATAATCACATTTATCTTGAAAATTTTGTTTTATCTGATGTGGTTTGTTAGATTTTGTCAGCATAACGTCGTAAGAAACAGAATGCAAAGAGAAATTCTTGCCTTTTAAATGAACATTAGTCCTAAGTAAACTTAGCCGGAATTCAAACATGATATACTAATTTGCATTATAATTTACAAAATAATAATAAGAGTTTCATGCGGATACGGAGTCTTAAGGTGCACAATACACACTGACCGTTAAGCGTTATGTAATTCGCATTGATTTAAAATTGTGCTAAACGCGTGTTATTAACGTGCGATAGTACGTATATTCAGTAATACATATTTAATAGCTCTGTTATATAACATTGAGCTCTGTTTTCTTAACGCCTGTGAAAATATGTATATATGTGTGTCCGCGCAAGTATATTTGCGTATACGTATCCTTTTTTTATCACACACACACACATATATATATATATATATATATATATATATATATATATATATATATATATACTGACCGTTTGTATCACAATATCATCTATTTTGTTAACTGATAAATGACATCTAGTGTGGTTAGAAGTCCGATTGCTTCAAGCCGGGATCGAAACCCGACTGGTATGACATCAGTCAAATATCTTACCCCTAGACCAACGGCAGAAAAGGAAGGAATTTTAGCATATTTCTCTATACGCAATACGTCAGCACCCTGGAGAACTCAATTCATACTTGAAGATTAATGCTTAATAGAAGCCGTTTTTTAAAACACCTTTTTCTAAGATGGCTCAACCATATTAAAATATATGAAATTAAAAACAGAGAAAAGAGCGCAAATTCTCGATCGGATTTAAATCAGAAGAGTTTCCAAGCCACTCGATAGTACTTTGATATACTCACTGGTATGACTTGCCAGTGTGTTCTTGCAGCGTTAAAATTTTCGTACCCTTCCTTAGAGTAACGTTCATCGCAGACAATGGCGATAGGACAACTAATCGACATTCGAGACAATAGTTTATGGACGTGATAAAAATCTGATGCAATCACGGACGACGCAATATTTTTCAAGGCCAAACAAATTTCATCATACACACCGAAAATAGATTCATAATACTGCACACCACTACGAATGACCTGAGGAAAAATAGAAATCGATTACACACTTTCACTCCAGGTCTAAAACTGACCGTATGGTGAAAGAAAGGAAACTAATGCTGTTGTTTCAATTAATTTGCACAAGGGAGTATATATCGCTTTCCGACTATGAGATCCAGGTTCAAACAGTCATCATAGTCGATTTATCAAGGTTATTTACCTTACGTCCCCGCGAGACAGGATGGGGCACAAGTCCGTTTTAATGCGTGGTCAAAACCGAGCCCGTAAACTCCGTAAAAAACGGGGTCAGGTTGCTGTCTACCATCCCAGACGAGACTCTGCCCTTCGGCATAGCCTCGTCTGGGTTCCTCTCTGCCCGAAGGCAGAGAGTTCCACAAGCACAGCTGGAGACGAATCTCGGACTAATTGCCGAATCATAGTCGATTTATCAAAGAAATGACTTATTGATATTATTGGCCTTGGGAGCATTAGACTGAAAACTGTAGCACAGGTTGAGCTGAGTCATGTGACTGAACCTGGGTAAATAGAACTATTCATCGAACAGGCTTTGTTCAAACGGTTGATCACGCCAGATAATACTATTTGTCCTAGAAACGACAACTAAGGTCCGCTCAGCATAGTAACAGCATAGTAAACGCAGGCGTATTCTATGGGTGTTGAACACAAATGTGCCTGAGCAGGTATCTGCAAATGGGATTGGCTTACCGTCCTCCTACACGGGTGTACTCAATATGTGTAGCTAGTCATTATATATATATATATATATATATATATATATATATATATATATATATATATTAAGTATATATATATATATATATATATATATATTAAGTAGAGTCACAAGTCATTTCCATGTTCATGTAATGATAAATGTATCATCTTAAAACTAATCAAACCAATAAATTTGAAGTGACCTATTATACCCTGTAGAGTAATGGACTGCAGCTCGGACAGAAAAATCACAGAGCTGGGTTCCGATTCCAGTTGATTTCATTGCATTCATTTACATGCTAATACCCTTGGGAAAGGTCTGCTGTCCTCTCTTCTCTCACCAGCTACGGGTAGATACCAGGACAGACTGTGTCCTATTGCCTTGGATGGCAGTATGTATAGAAGAAGTAAAACACTGACTTCAAAATTGTATGTAGCCCTCGGCGAAGCACCTACTATGGAGCTAAGAAAAGATTCGTTCGCATTGGTTCGATGATCCCAACGGTAGTCGACTCCTCAACTAACATAGCACAGTTTTCCACCGTAGTGGCAGCATACACAGTGAATTAAAGAAAAATATGATTCTCCTCCATGATAGTGAAAGACTTCGTACAGCAAGAATAACACAGGAAACTACCATATTCATGAGTAACACAAGGATTAAATGGGTAAATGGATGACAGAACAGCGATTAAAAAGAATCTAAAAGTTTTTTTAAAATACATTCACATCGGCGTAACTTAGCTTCCTTGTGACTTTTCTATAAATATTTGCATGGCAATTCCTCTGATAAGCTTCTCTCTTTGATACAGAGACATTAAGGTGCAAAACTAGATCGGGGCGGGGAGGTCTCATCACTTTACAACTGAAATGGCTAGATGTAGCCGTAAGTTCTATGTTAAGAGTTTCTTCTCTCGAACTTCTCTTTTGTAGAATTCTCTTCCGATTCATTACTTTTCAGTCAAGTTTTATCTTCAAAATGTAAATATAATGTCAATCGATATCATCTGTCTTAATTCCTGTATTTTTTGTTCTCCCTTTTTTTTCTTATGTTTTTGCTTGTCTCCTATTCTCTTATACGCAGTAACCTCTTAGAAGCTTTATTGCCTTACTTTGGGGGAATGATTAAAACAAAAATTTAAAGTAATGAATGAAAAGAAGTTGTGGAGAGCCATGATTGCCAACGTTCAAAAGCACAGACAATATGAAAGAACACTGAAATACTGGATACTGAAAGACATTCAGTCCTAGCAAGAGGTCTTAAAAGAAATACAGTATTTGGTCAAATTAGTCAGATTTTTGGAAAATAGTGTCGAAATATTTTTCCCTCATATCTAAGGAGATAAGATCTAGATTTAGATTAGTTTTCTCCGCTCATTTTCCATTGCTATTTTTTTTCTGTGGCTGACGAAGTTAAGGAAATCCTATTCAATATACATATTCAATAGAAGGGAATTCATTGCCGGATATGCAATTTTGCAGGAAGTCATTTAAAACAAGGACCTGTGTCTTGCATTCAAATTAGCAAAAGCTATATCCCTTTATGACATTAACGATTATGCCTCACCACAGATTTATTTTCTTTATTATCTGTAAATTGTCATGACTTATTGGGAATGAAAAATGATGGGGTTTCCTATTTCCTTCTCGATGGCAGAATATTAGATATCAATATTAAAGAATAATTAATGTAATCGATCCTGACCTTGCATTTCGATTTCATTCACTGACATTCGTGACATGGCTTCCCAGTGTCTTTTCTACAGATATTTTCTGATGAGCTTTGCTCATTGGTGCCTCGAGTACATGAATTTAAGCGTGCGGCTTGATTGGCAACTAGGTCTCACCGTTTTAATGTTGAAATAGCTAGATGCAACTGCTACTTCTACTCTAACAGTTTCTTTTATTCGCACTTCCCAACTGCGGAACTCCCTTCCGATTTTTTTGCTTCCCTGAACAAGCTAGATGCAACCGTATGTTCCATTCTGTTATGGTGGAACACACCTATTCTATAGTCAATAGACTCTCCCACCTATAATAAGTAGGAGTAGTAAGAGTCAGTCGGTCGGTCGGACAGTGAGTCGATGTCGGACGACAGTTAGCCGAATACGAAAGTATCAGCGACCACAACTAGATTACTCTGCGTCATACCTATTATATCAAGTTCCTAACGTTTTGTACGTCGAACCTATTTTAGGACCGATTTAGTACAAATACAAGCCTCCACTGCGAGATAACTCCACAACACATTCTAATAGTTTCTTTTCTCGTACTGTAGAGCTCCCTTCTGCTTTCTTGCTTTCCTGCCACCAGCAATCTTCAAAAATGTTAATGCAACGCCAATTACCATCTTATGTCTTTCTGGAACCAGTTCTTTTTATTGTCCTTTCGCCTCGCTAATTATTACCATTTTCTTACATTCCGCTTGCTTCTTAGTATTATCATCGCCTTGCTTGAGGTAATATGACTGAATAGAATGCACAAAAATTATGACTAGGTTATTTATCTAATTTGTTTTTTTTTTACGGTTTATCAACATTTTATGCGTTAGTGAAAGTAGAAATATATTTTTGATTTTTAGAATGATTCATTTTTGCGACTGAATATTGCACTGACAATTTTCTTTTTGAAAATAACAATGATTTTCCCAGATTTCTCCTACTATTTATCCCATAGCGGGGGAGAAATGGATCTATACCTTTCTCAGAGTTATGTGCGTGTAAATGAAGGTAACGAGCTCAATTGGAATTCGAACTCGTCTCTCCACACCATCCAGGCATGCATCAGTCAGTTATGTGCCATGCGTGATACACGCTTAAGTGATTATGTGTCTTTTGATACATGACTGACGAAGCAGAATTTTTTCCTGCAGAAGGCTGCTATTTCTTTCTGTTGTAGACCAGTTGCCATCCAAGACTATAGAACCCAGTCTGTCCTGCTATTTACCTATAGTGGAGTTGGGAGAAGAAGAGGATTCATACCTTACCCAATGGTATTAGCACGTAAGTGAATGTAATGGATTCGACTGGAATTCGAACTCGGCTCTCCGATTTCTCAATCCGAGCTCCTCAGGAATGCATAAGTATTGCTAACGGTAATAGTGAGTCTAGTTGTTTATTTGTAAGGAAATGTTCAACATTCTTTGATCAAACAGCATTACTTTCAGCTAATATTCAGACAATGTTTCTCTTAAAACAGTTTTTCAAGATGCCTTCCAAAAGCTAAGCAAAGTATTAAGAAACAGGAGAATTACGTTGGAATCAATTATTCAACATTAGTCCTCGTATATGGCAATGAATTTTGGACAATCTCATCATCATGACAGAGCTTGCTGGACAATTTCCTCACAGATGAAGACGAGACGAGGCAAAAGAAATATGGTTTTACAAAAAGATGCTTAAAATATTAGGAACGAAGTTTTAGAGAAAATGGAAACAAAAAAAAACATGATTTCCCTCAGAAATGACAGTTGATATTTCTAGGGCGTATAATGAAGAAAGAAGGCTTAGAGATTTTGACACTCACATGGCATATTGATTACAAGAGGGACGGAGGGTGGTATCAAATAAGCTACCTAACGAGCTTGTGTAAATGTTTGGCAGAACAGGGTTTTGCAAAGATAGCAAAAAGATGAACTTTACTAAGAGCTACAAAGGACAAGATATTGTGGAGATGCATGATTTCCCACGCCCTGAAGGGACAAGGCACATTAGATAAGAAAAAAGGTAAGCGTAGCAAATATCGTCAATAATAAGCCACTTTGACGTGAAGTCCGACTTACGAATACTGTCATGCAGGTTATTACTGTTACAGTGTATCTCTTTTACTCGCGGTCTTGTAACTTTGTTAATCTTGTATCGCCTCTCATTTTATATTAATTTCCGGAAAACGTTGCTTAACTTCATTTGCACAGGCAAGATATATTGCTACATTACTTGAAATGTTATCTGACTTTGGATTCCTATGATTTGTTTTCATTCGTGAAAGGAAATTGTTCTCCACCTAAAATTGTCAATACAATGGCATCAGAATAAGAACTTGCTTCTTTTTAACGGACACAGACAGCTCTTTTCAATTAGGTAATCAATGTGATGGTTGAACAAGACGTTGTTCGTGTTTCGCTTTGATGGTATGTCGATATCAGCTATTGCCAGGCAAAAATGAGCGTCCAGACATAACCAAAAACCTAAAGGCCGTCACTTCCGCAGACCACTTGGAGATAGATGTCATAAAAATAATGATAAAAAGAAAATAATGCTGGAGCAAGAGTGTGATGGGAACGAAAGGCGAGCTTTAAATTAACACTCTAAACGAAAAAATGGAAAATTGATATTTCATTGTTAACTAAGGAAGCAGATCAGGATATACACTGCTGGAAAAAATCTTAAGTCAAATGAAAATAAAAAAAAATACGTTGTTAGACTTATTTGAATAGAACGAAGAATGAAAATAAGAAAAGGAAAAATTAAAAACCTTTTTAGCATTTAATAGGAAAAAAAAGAATATTGGGAAATTATAAAGATTTTCCTTTTGCAAAAAGTGATCTTTATTATTACAAAATGTACAAAACCTCGAACTATGAAGTTAATAATTAGAGTTGGCTTTACTTCAGCCCGATGTGGTATCGAATGAAAGAAGGTCCGGAATTTCTTATTGGGAATTTTTCTCTATATTCTTGGCAGTAATCCCGAAGCTCCTCTGTGGTCTTCGAGGGAAAACTTGTTTCTTCTGTTCCTGCCACGATGGTTCGATAATATGGAAGTCAGGACTATGTGCTGACCAGTTTTCCAAAAGTTGAACATCTTCCGCAAGAAAGCTTTTTTGCCGCACGTGATTTGTGGCAAGGAGCACCGTAATGCTGAAAAATCTCTCCTTCTTCGTAATCAGGCTGAAGATGAGACCGTAGAAAACTAATATAGTTTTCGCTATTTAGATTTCAATCAGCTTTTATCAATTCTCTTCTGTCATCGCTTTTGATGTAATTCCACACTAATCCACCAACAAATTTTACAGTGTTTGCAGTTTATCTTGAATTGTACTGTCTCCCAGAGGTTTTCTTACATATTCTCATGCATTAAAATGTAACGTTGTTTTGAATTCATTACTAAAAACTACTTTTTGCCAATTTCCAAAATCCCATGTTCCATGTTCTTCTGACCATTTCAGTTTTTTGTTCAGATGTTGTTGTTTTTTGTTTTGTTAATGATGTGTTTTTTCTGCTATACGCCCGTTCACGTTCTTTATCTTTTTTTGTTTTTTTTTTTTGTTTGTTTGTTTTTTCGTAAGAAATTAGTAAAAGCTATATCTCTTCATGGCATTAAAATCTATATCCCTTCGTGATTTTTTTTAATTTTCTTGTAAAAAAAATTGTTAATGATTTTTAATACATAACCAGTTCACTGTTCACTGTCTAAACCTAACCGTAACTCTAACAAATTTCATACTTTCAAAGGTTGGTAAATGTCATACCATAGTAGAAAATGAATGTTAGATATCATACTATAGTAGAAAATGGAGGATAGATACCATACTATAGTAGAAAATGAATAATAGATATCATAGTATAGTATAAAATGAATAGTAAATATAATACTATAGTAGAAAATGAATGATAGATATTATACTATAGTAGAAATGAATAGTAGATATCATATAGTAGAAAATGGATGGTAGATATCATACCACAGTAACACCGATACAACATATTTTCTACTTTGCTAAGGCCACGAACATTACTGATAAATGCATGCTGTTAAACAATCTTAACTTACTCATAAAATAAACGCATAGAATCAATTTATTATTGTAGCAACTGAAACCTCACTTTTAAGACTACATTAATTCCTTATTTCTATGACTGTCATATTGGATCACCTACTGTGTTTCTCACAGACTTTTTTTCCATATTTCTTGTGTAATTTTGGTGGTCTTCTGGCTTTCTTTACACTATTCCATTATTAGAAAACGTCTATTGAATGGTTTGAACATTGTTTCTGGAAATTCCAAGCCGCCTGGCTATCTCTCTTTGAGTCAGCTTCCTCTTCAAAGTAATTAAATTTATTTCGTTCCGGCAAAAATTTTAGATTTATTTAAAAAAGATCTAATCTTCAACTACAATGTATTGACAAGAAGTATTAGTAAGAAGGAACAATTCTTACTTAAAAAATTTACATATTATCATGACTTTATCACCTGAGATCTTTCATTGGTCCAATGAAATTACCTGTACTTTTTTCAACCTCAAACTGTTTAAAACGCTGTTTTTTTTTTCACTTACACGGCATCTAAGTAAACGAAACAATGGTGCTATTATAGTAAGACATCAACCAAGATATTTGCGACCTACCGTAAGTGACGATGTACTCACTAATAAATTTATTACAGTATCAACTAAAACCTCACTGTTTAAGACATTAATTCCTTATTTCCTACATTAATTCCATATTTATGTGACTGTTAATTTTGGATTACATACCGAGATTCTCACAGACTTTTTCCATATATCTTGTGTAACATTTGTAGTCTTCTGGATTTCTTTACACATAAAACAATTTCATAATTGACAAGCCACGGTGGAGTAATGGATAAGCGGCTCGAATTGGGGAATCGGAGAGCTGAGTTCGAATTTCAGTCAAATCACTTACTTTCTAATACACTTCGGAAAGGTATGTATCCTTTTCTTCTCCCCCCAGCTATGGGTAAATAGCAGGACAGACCAGGTTCTATAGCCTTGGATAGCAACTGGTCTAACGCAGAATAACAAGGCAACATAATGCGGGAAATAAAACTGCCTCGTCAGTCATGTATCATGTATACATGATCGCCTCAGCGTGTATCACGCATGGCACATAACTGATTATTGTTTCTGAAAATTCCACGCCGTCTGGCTATCTCTAGTTGAGTCATCTTCCTCTTTAAAGTCACAAGTTTAATTTTTGTTCCGGTAGAAATTTTTGATGTATTTAAAAAAAATCTAATCTTTAACTACAATGAATTGACAAGTCACCTTGAACTCATATGAATAAAAAGGAAAAATTCCTACTTTAAAATTTACATATTATCACGACTTTATCATCTGAGCTCTTTCATTGGTAAAATAGTTTCTGCCTGTACTTTTTTTTCAGCAGTTTAAACGAAACAACGGTGCTATATAGTATGACATCACCCGAGGAATTTGCTACCTACCATAAGTGACGATGTAATCATTATTGCTGGAAAATGCTCAGGAAAAACGATGACCTGTTTATTGTTTTTTAAATGACATCAGATCAGTTTACAAGCATTAAAACCACTATTTGATGACTTTTATCTATTTATTTTTGTATAAAAATTGTTAATGATTTTTCATACATAACTAGTTCCCTGTTCACTACTTTTAACCCTAGCCCTAACCCTAGCATATTTCCTACTTCCAACAGTTGGTAAATATCACACCATAGTAGAAAATGAATATTAGATATATTACTATAGTAGAAAATGGACGATAGATATCATACTATAGTTCAAAATGGACGATAGATATACTAAAGTAGAAAATGGACGATACATATCATACTATAGTAGAAAATGGACGGTAGAAAGAACTTATTTTTCATTTCTCTAGTTGCATATATTACTGATAAAATCATGATACTAAACAATCTTAATTTTACATAAAATAAAGTTGTATAAACAATTTATTTATTTGTCCCAAAACATTCTGGCGCCTGTGTATAATCTACAAACACTCATGAAATTATATACGGAAATTCATGAACCGCACTCAGAACAAGCAAATAATGACACATCTGTTTTATGCTAATATATCAAGTTGTAATACTGGGATCAATATTTTTATGACGGCCAATGTTATCTTCTGTCGTTTCTTGCAAGATATATGGACTGTGTTGTAAAACACAAACGAAATGACACCCTTTTCCCAAACACCTATTATAAGAGTGACAGTCTTCATATAACGCAAACTATCACCGAAAATTTTTATGCTGCCTTTAAAGATAACTTTCTCTTAGCCATAATTATGTGATAAACGGTCTTAGTATTTGCTGGAAAACTGTGTAATAAAATTATCCTGAAAAGACATTTTTTTCTGTCAGAACGCATAGCAGAATCCATTTTCGTCGTTTTTTTTTCTGCTTCCTTTTTATTTTTTTTGTTTCTTTTGTTGTTGTTTTTAATTTTATTTATTTATTCTGCTGCCAGTAAAGCAACTATTTTGTAAACACTGCATGAATTGCATGCAGAGACAACTTCCCGTTTTTTACCGGATTTGATTTGAAAGATAACAATTCTCGGATTTTGTCTTTCCTAAACACTTTTCTGCAAAATATTTTCACTGAATGATTTTCGATCGCCCAATATGAATAAGTTGTGTACATATATATATATATATATATATATATATATATATATATATATATATATATGTGTGTGTGTGTGTGTGTGTGTGTATATATATATATATATATATATATATATATATATATATATATCGATTTTCTAAGCGCTGCTTAGATGTGGCACAAGGCGGGAAGTATGGAGCACCCTCTGAGGATTACTCAGTCGTAATATGTTCTAGCGAGACAAGCTTGCTAAGCATTACACCACACCGATGTGTCATATATATATATATATATATATATAACCGCCATAATAGAATACCCACAGGTTATATATATATATAACCGCCATAATAGAATACCCACAATGCACCACTAACCCGTATATATATAAATAGCCGAGAAAAATAACAGCATATGTGGCCTGACGATTGCATATAGCATGAAACAGACTGTCGCCTCTAAGTGTTGACTTCTATGTTCACTTTTATTTATATATATATATATATATATATATATATATATATATATATATATATATATATATATATATATATACTGGGTGTAACAGTAAAATTGTACAAGTTTTCAGATAGGACATTTATTCATCTTAACACCATTTGTTGTAAGAATAACGGAAAAAACATCTTTGAGTTTTTCAGCTCAAAAGAGAGTAGCTTAAAATGGTTTTGTGTCAGCTCCTTTGTCTCCCAAAATGAGCAGTTGTCAACGGAATAAATATTCAGCCTTTTAGTAATGGTACCAACATTCATATTCTGGCTTCCATTCAAGAGCCATGAAGATAACGAAGAATAAGTTTTTTTTAAAAAGCGCGAACAGTAAAGAGAAAAACTGGATAAAGAGGTCACAACAGGAAAATGGATCATCATTTCAAGTTAAAGAGATCAATTAGAAAAGATCCAACTTAATCCACAAGATATTTGGCATATGAGAGAGGAGTTTCACTAAT